GGCTTCCATAAGGTATATAGACCGTCTAGAGGCTCCTATAACGGTAACTACCCACCTGAAAATGTCCCAGACTTAGCCTTAAGCGTAGCGCCCTAAACACGACACCCTCAACCCGAAACCCTGAAAGCCCTTTCCAACAAGCAATGAGCTCAGGCTGGCATTGTTGGGGTTTTAAGGGATTCCTTTCAAAACCGCTTTAAACCCTGAACCCTAAACCCTAAACCCTGAACCCTAAACCCCAAACCCTGAACCCTGAACCCTCAACGCTAAACCATAAACCCTGAACCTTAAACCCTAAACCTTAGACCCTAAACCCTAAACCCTGAACCCTAGACCACAAACCCTAAACCCTGAACCCTAGCCCCTAAACCCTAAACCTGAACCCTAAACCCTCAACCCTGAACCCTGAATCCTCAACCCTAAACCTTAAACCCTGAACCCTAGACCCTAAACCCTAAACCCTAAAACCCTAAACCCTGAACCCTAAACCGGGCCTACGGGTTTAGGGTTTTAGCTCCGGCGGACGGAAGGGCTTTTGGGTCTTAGGTCACCATCACCAAGTTGTTTTCAATCTCCCGCCTTACAACCAGGGTTTAGGGTTTAGGGTTTAGGGGTTTAGGGTTTTAGGGTTTAGGGTTTAGGGTTTAGGGGTTTAGGGTTTAGGGTTTAGGGTTTAGGAACTGTGGCGCCGTCGCGAAGAGAATCATGACTGCTAGATTGAACACCTGCAAAGGAACCCTTCTGATGGGGGTCTAGGGCCCAGGTTTAGCGTACCGGGGCATCTGAAGAAGCCAGGGGGCGGTAAACGTAGAGAGCACCGCTTACGGTATGAAGTGTGACCTCCTTCCCGCTGACGCGGTAGACTCCTGAGTGGACGGAGACTCTGTCTTTAATTACAGAAATATAATTTAAAAAGCATTGGGGCGGGCTTGTCTGCAGGGTCTGGAGGGGTCGAAACAAGATTTCGGTCCTAGCATATTACATGTACACATGTGTGAATAAATAGCGTCTGTGTGTGTATAGATCTATATTGCAGTATGTACGTACATATATATATATATGCATGTGTATATCTGTGTTTTATATATATATAATATATATATATATATATATATATATTGCATGCATGCATGCATGCATGCATACATACCTACGTACGTACGTACATACATACATGCATACATACATACATACATACATACATACATACATACATACATGTGTGCGTGTCTGGGTGCGTGTCTGTGTGTCTGTGTAGGTGTGTGTGTGTGTGTGTGGTGCAAATTCATGTATGCACGCATGAGTGCATGCATGCATGCGGAGCTTGGTAGAAACATAAGCCTGTCTGCATGCAGCAGGGCCAGGCTGGGCCGGTAAAGTCACAAGCCCCCATAAATCCTGGCAAGACCTCTTTTTATCCCCAAGACTTAAGCACCCTTATGCTTGGGTTTCGCGTTGAGGTGGCCTCTGTGCAGCACAGTTAACTACCGACTGCTGCGGCTGCTGCTACTACCACTCCTCCTGCTGCTGCTCCTACTACTATTGCTACTATTGCTATTACTGGTACTGCTACTATTACTACTACTACTACTACTACTACTACTACTCCTGCTGCTACTACTACTACTACTACTACTACTACTACTACTACCACTACCTACTACTACTGGTGCCACCACCCTACCACGACCAGTACCACTACTACTGCCACCGGCCACCACCACGGCCACCAGCACCACTACTCGTGCTACGATGAATATTGTGTTTCGGACTCCGAAGAGCAAAAACATGAAAAGAGAGCAGCTCCACTGGCCTTCTGTACCGGCACTTCGGCTTCACAAAAAAAAAAGTTAGTATCGTGGACTACACAATTACACAATGGTGTTTTAGGGGGTCATATGATTCATAACCAGGAAGGCTTGGGAATAGTATTGTTAAGTACCTATTCAGGCTTCTCTACGATTTTCGCAAACAGATCAGAAGACAACAGTAGGCTCTAAACCCTAAAATCTAAGACATTTTCAGGTGGGTAGTTACCGTATTATAGAAGGTCTATATACCTTATGGAAGCCATATAGAAGCCCTATATACCCTAAATTCCCAACAGCTAACCTCAAAGCCCTGACTTGTGAGGCCAGGGGTCCATGGCTCACTTTCTGCACCAAGTTCCGCATCTCAGGGTTCACGGGTGCCAGCGCTTCGTTCCTCAAAGCAGAATAGGGATTTGTGGTATAATATACTGTATACTACGGTACCGTCAACATGACATAGGTTCCGGGCGCTTGAGTGCTTGAGGGCTTGGGGTTGCGAGTTTACTTCAGGGCTTGAAACCCTAAACCCTAAAC